CCTTCCGCGCGCGCGCGGGCTCGCGTACAGCAGGGGATGACGAAGTGGCACTGTCCGCGAGGGGGTGACTCTTGGGCAGCACAATGGTGGCTTGGTGCTCAACCACCATTCTTCTTGAATTTCGTGGGAAGATGATCGATTGACACTGCAGTTCCAATTCCAGAGATGGGGGCAAATTCCACTAGGCCAGAGGGGGGGTCCCAAGCGGGTGTGCATCGCATGCCAAGTACCCATGGAACGTTTGTCCCGGGACATTATTTGAGTCGGTCCATAGACTAAATGAGCGCCCGGTGATTCGCGACGGGATACAACCTGTGCGCTACGTACCTAGAGGTACCGTACCGGAGTCCAAGCTGGGTAGCGAAGCAGGAACCCACCGGTAGTACGGTAGCTAGTGCCTAGGCTAGGTACCTACCTACCGTACTGCCAACTAGGTACCCGGGTAGGCAGGTAGCTAAGGTTCCAGGTACCGTACCGACTAGGTAGATACCGTAGTACGTACTGAGCCGGGCCGCTGAGGTACCGGTACCTACTCTTTACCAGCAATGTTGTACCGTAGGTAGACCCAGTACAGGGTAGACAGTACGGTACTTGCAGCCTTGGGGCGGTGTCGATCGGCTGAATTGCCACGAAGTGCTTTCGAAAAGTGGAGTGTTTGTCAGACTTCGGTAACCCTACGGGTATTCTTGCTTGAAGATTACAAGGTCCGAAGCTTTTGAAACTCGGTTCGAAGCATTTTTCCCACGGAGTGCAAATGCCGGAGCCGGAGCTGAATCGGCCGATAATTGCCCCGATTTTCCGGCATTTTTGCGCGCCGCATTAAAATTCGGGGCGCAGTGCCGGCGCTGTCACCGGGCACGGCCGAGTATTATTTCGCGCGATATGTCCACGGTTTCTGCCCGGATTGTGCCGCGATTTCCCGCCGGGCGAAAAACCACCATAACTGCCCCGTGCACGCACATAATCCTCCTTACCCTCCATCATGACTGGCGGCCGTAGCAAGCTGCAGAGTCAACTCATGCATTGTACCATCCCGGTCTCACCGGCAGACTTGCCCGATGGCTCAATGTGGCTAAAGGCGTTAATAAATCGTAAGTTACCATCTCGATCTTTGAACTTAACCATCCAGAGTCGACGGTATACTATACATTGATTCATTATCCTGTGCGTGGCTCCATGGCATAGCGAGGGCAGCCATGCGGCAATACACGTCAATTTGTATTGAAATTATGAACGCTTTCTGTAAGACTAAAGGCCGCCCTCGGGCCTACCACTTGAAGCAAAATCTGGCCGTTGGTCAACAACTACGCGTGATGCCTCTACTTAAGCTTACTCTTTACAGCGTCAATCTTGTCTTCAACAGCACTAGCAGTTGCTTCCAGCTCTTCTTCACTGGGCAGCAACCGCAAGAATGGCAATACTAGCAAACTCGAAAGATTCGTTATCAGCAGTAGCAAAGGCAAATTTGTAAACTCGGTACTCGTAATGCCGAGTGCGCCAGTTATCCAAGCTCCAATTGCTCCCCCTAGGACGCCCGCCCCGTTGCTTATTGACATGAGCGTGGCAAACAACGTGGCCTCGATCCCCTCCGGACAAATGCGTGCAGCTAAAACCAGAATTGGCATGAAGGAAACCTGCAAAGCGGAATCGTAAACTGATGAGTGGTCCAATACGACGCTGGCTTCCTCAGGCAAGGAGAAAACAACGAAGCACGCCGTAACAATCAGGGCTGGACGACTTGCTAAAGTTTGTTATCCTCAGTGAGTCTTCAAAAGCCCCGCTTTCGCAGGATTGAGCCTTCTCTCCTCTAAGCCCTTGGTAAGAGGTCTGGTCAAGGTCACAGCAAAATGTTGGTCTGTGAGGTTCACAATACGTCTCACAGGCCCTTCAGATTTGCAGATTCGCAGACTAGAAAGTTAGCGCCGTGCTTTGGGGGCTATTAGGGGCGGGACTGAAGTCACTCGGATAACGGTTGCATTAAAGAATATTTGCAGCTTTGAGAGCTTCAAAGGAAGCTCAAGAGCAGGACCAACCACGTCCGAAAAGTCCACCAAGTCCACGCCACGTGTAGCCAGGACCGAGAGACCCTTTGCACTCCCGGCCCACAACCCACGGCTTTTTGGGCCCTAAGCAACTCTCGTTTTCGACAGTAAAACCCAAAAAAAGAATCATGATTGTAGCTGTTGTCTGGATACCGTCCGCACGACGAAGTCTCGTGATGTAAAAGTTCAGTCTGTTTGAGGTCCACCTCAGCCCACCCTTGGGTCCTCCTCTGTCCGAGGACGTGTCAACACGGGCAAATCTCCATCAAACACTTTTCTGTTCTTTACTCTGGCAAGAGTCAAGTCTAAAGTTCAAATCTATGCGAATTCCATCACAAACTTTTCTGTATCTTTAAAATGTCGATACTCATGTCCAGAGCTTGAAATTATGCGAAATCCCATCAAATTCCTGTTTCTTTCCACTGTCGATAGTCAAGTCCAGAGTTCGAAAATATGCGTAATCCCATCACAAGCTTTTCTGTTTCTTTCCACTGTCGATAGTCAAGTCCAGGGTTCGAAAATATGCAAAATCCTCTCACAAGCTTTTTTGTTTCTTTACACTGTGAATAGTCAAGTTCAAAGCTCGAAGGTTTGCGAACCCCAAAAAAATCACTTTGGCGCTCTCACTTGGCCCGGTCTCGTCAGTACGAACGAATCCCAATCACAGACTTCTCTGATCCTTAGGGTCCAGAATCAGCTTTATGCCAAACCAAGTCAGACCAAAGTGGTATCTTACCTGCCCCAGAATTGTCAGCACGAGCGAGTCCCCATTGCAGACATTGAGTGTCTCGTGACACCGTCGATATAAAGTCGCTCTAGATCCGCCGTTAAGCGAACCCCGCCGTAAGGCGAACCCCAAAACAAACCACTTTTTTGCGCTCTCACCTGGCCCAGACCCGTCAGCACTAGCGAGACTCAATCACAGACCCTCTGTACCCTAGAGTCCAGAATGTAAGCTTATGCCAAACCAAGACTAACCAAGCTAATCGCTCACCTGCCCTAGAACCGTCATTACTCGCGAGCCCCCATCAAAGACATTGAGTGTTTCGTAATACCGACAAGAATCAAGTCGCCCAGATCCGCCATCATGCGAAACCCCAATACAGAGCATTCCTTCTGCGCTCTCATCTGCCCCTTGACCGTCGACAAAGAGCGAGTCCCCATCATATCCTGGTTAGGTGTCCGCATTAGGAGATTATGTCAAATCAAGACAGACCAAGATGATCCCTCACCTGCTCCAGAACCGTCAGCGCGAGCGAGTCCCCATGATATCCTGGTTAATTGTCGAAAACAGGCGACTATACCAAACCCAAATCGACCCAACCGATAAACCCAAATCGACCAGACCGATCCCTCACCTGCCCCAAGACCGTCAGCACGAGCAAGTCCAATCACCAGACTCTATACTTCCTAGGGCCCAAACAAGGTTACGCCAAACCAAGACCGACCAAACCAAGACAGACCGAATTGGTACCTCACCTGCCCCAGGACCGTCGGCACGAGCGAGTCCCCCATCACACCCATTAAGTGTCTCGTAACACCGTCAGTAAGCAAGTCGCTCTAGATCCGCCGTCATGCGAAACCCCCAAAACATACCACTCTTTACGCGCTCCCACCTGCCCCAGGACCGTCAGCACGAGCGAGTCCCCCCCGTCATATCCTAGTTACTCATCCAAGCTAGGCGGATATACCAAACCCAAATCCACCAGAGTGATCCCTCACCTGCCTCAGAACAGTCAGCACAAGCGAGTCCCCATTATAGACTGGTTAATTGTCCGAAATAGGAGGTTATCCCAAACCAATGACAAACCAAACTGGTATCTCACCTGCCCCAGAACCGTCAGCACGAGCGAATCCCCCATCGCGAACCACTGGTCGTCGATCCCAAGCGCGCGGTTCGTCCCAGTCACCAGCAGAAGCTGCGACATTCCGAGCGTGCATCCGATAATTGTGGTCCACTTGAAGATCCGGCGCAGCGGGACCTCTTTGAGGCTCGAGTTGAACAGCCCCACGCCCAGGAGCGAGGCCGCTGACGTCACCAGCCGGACGCGGCCGAGGAACTCGGGGCCGAAGTGGAGCTGGTTGGTGCTGAGGGGGACGCAGAGATAATGATGTTGTTCAGGCTTGGAAACGGCCATTACTCCGACGAGTCAGAGAAGGCCGACGGCCGACGTTGGCCCAACATGTGGTGCTTGTCAGATGGACTAGAAGTGTTAGAAACGATTCCATCATGTTTTGAGAGAATCAGGGTTTGCGAAGCTGAGCGATCAAGACTGGCCGTGGGTTCGAAAATTGACAGACCGGATCGAGAACAAGAGAAGATTCTCAAAGAACGCAGGAATGAGGACAGAAATAATTTGGATTCGACGGAATGGAGCTCACGGAAGGATTCAAAGAGGAAACCAAACTCGACGGCAAACTTCCAAGTTTCTGGTGGCGAGACTGTTCATAAACTGATATGGTCAACGGTGAAAGGAATATCGCTAGACAGGAGCGCGGTATCCAAAAAGTATCCAAAAAGAAGTAGAACTCTATTCGAGACCCTTGCAAGCGCCAAACTTCGATGTCGCTTCCTGCGCTGCACCTGCGTTCCCACCTTCGTCAGACCCCAAACAGGAATCGAGTCGAAAGCCCGGGGTTGACTTTGCGGGGTTAACAACTCACGTGAAGAAGAACATGGCCGTCTCCGACTGCGGCGTCGCTTGCCAGAAGAAGATGAAGAGCGTCGGCAGCAGAATCGCCGGTTCTCGTATCACCTCCCACAGGTAAAGCAACTGCTCTTTCGAAGTCTCGATCACCCCGGAGAGCCCCCCCGCCTCCGGGCCCTGTTTTTGGCTCCCCGGTTCCATACCCCCGCCTTCTATCGACTCTCCGTTCGCTGACAAGGCCTCGCTTCGGTGGCCGTTTTGGGAAACTGGTTCTGCGTGTCCGTTTTCGGTCGGGTGGGGCGTATTTACATTGTCGACGGTGCTGGGGACGGAGTGGTGGTGAAAAGGGGCGGCGGGCTTTTCTTGGACAAGGCCTGCTACGGCAGAAGTGATGAGCGGTAGGAATGCTGTCACGCCAAACACAAACCTGCGAGGGACATAGAAATTGAGTGAGGAATGGAACTGTGTGTTGTTTTCATAAAAGCCAGAAATCTTTTTTCAACACTCAATCTTGTCTTACTTTTGCGCTCTCTCTCTCAACCGTTTTTGCAGGCTAGGGAGGCGCGAGGTAAGGGCGTGCTTGCTAATCCAGACCGGCGAGTGGGGGCGAGCAAAAACACCAAGAAGAGAAGTAGACCAATGAAGATAAAGCAGGATTGAAACTGGCGACGAGGTCCAGTGTGCGCAGAGCCTTCAAGTCGTCTTTAAATACGCCCCCGATTCGTTTGAGAAGCGCGCCTAAGAGACAAAGAGGTCCAACGACGATGATCCGAGGTACTGTCTGTTCCGTCCCGTTACTCGTGTTAAACAAGCGGCATCGAATCAGGGCCCGCAAGCTCACCTCTCCCTTAACCAATTGACAAGCGAACAAAAGTGAGAAGTAAAGGCGCTTCGAAAAGCTTAGAGAAACGTGCGCCTTGGAGGCGAGAGCCAACTTGAGTAACGGTTCGACACCCGGACGGTCCAAGTTCAAATGGCAGTTGAATTGAGCGGGATACGAAGCCACAAATCTAACTGAAGTGGCGCTGCGCGAGAACCAAAAGAAGGCACCACACCCAGTCATCAAACCAAACGCTTGGAACCATTGAGCAGGGGTTCGGTCCTCAGTTGCGCAAATCGTGGTTCAGTCTCCGGGTTCTTGTTTAGAGTTCCACAACAGAAATCACACTATAGAAGCAAGCGCACCTGGTGCCGTATTCTTCGACAAGCGACCCGCTAAAGTAGGCGCTGACAATGCCCCCTGCCGCGGACGAGCCCCAGCACAGCGACTGGAGGGACCCCGCCATCGACTGCGACTCCCCTCGAGCCCGCTCCACCACCATTGAGTCAACGACCTAAGTAAGGAAAGAGAGGGGCGGTCAGCGAGAGGGACCTGTCCGGGTTTGAGAACGTGACGCAAACTGTGAAGATGGAGGCGAAGGGCAGACTCAGGAGAATTCAAATGGGATTAATTGTTTCGTACGGTGGTGAGAAGGAAGCTAGTGAAATTTGCAACAAACCCGGATGATTCTGAGCTCTGAACCTTTTCTAGTGTTGGTGAAAGATCCTCTGTTGTTAGATAAAATCGGGCTGGAAATAATGTCCAGCAAGTGAGGTCACTTGGCTGCAGGGGAATGGTCAAGAACAAGCGTCTGAACAAGCGTCGGAGCGGGCATATACCATGGCAAGCGTACTCAATGCTCTCCCAGCTCTTTTTCTGACAGAAGCTGGTGAGTAGCACATCAGTAGACATCTTCAATGACCACGGAAATCAAGAACTAATTCTTTCACGGGGCTGTTTCGAGGATATTTGAAAGCTTCGCCATTGCTGCAATCTGACATCGACCTCGAAAGTTGACAGAAAAACTGATCCTGAATGACCAGCATAGAAGACTCGGTAGACCAGACAATGGAAGTTCCGCAAAACCAGTGTCGCTGACTCGGTGACTGATTGAGGCGTGGGCACGCCATGTAATGCATCTGAGCGCCCTACAAAAAACGAGGGCGTCGAGCGGACGCCACCACTCATAGCGCCCCAGATTGAACGAGGGCCGGACGCATTATCCCCGACTTCTGAAGTACACGGGGTCCCTACCGGCGACACGCATCTTCTGTAAAACCCGAAGATCAGCCTGCGTATATCTTAGCAGCAAAGGCACTATTTGAGCTACGACAACATTTTCACAGTCGAATGCTTAAAGCCTCAGACAAACCAAAATAGCTCGAAGTCGACAAAAAGCGAAGTCAACACTTGTTGTGGCCCATGGACCGAAGAGAGTGTAAACTCACCACATCCGAAAAGGCCACCGAAAGCGAGCTGAGCACGGTCGCAGCCACTGTCACGTATTTGTTATCCGCAAACAGCGCCAAATAACCCCACGAAGCGGCCCCGATCAGGCCGCAGAGAACGAGGTACGAGCGGCGCCGGTAGCCGAACAGGGGCAGCCCGTCGCTGATGAATCCGTAGATGGGTTTGATGAGCCAGGGAAAGGCGGAGATGCCGGTGAGGATTGCGGTCTGCAGGAAGAGGGATACGTAAGAAATTATGCCAACTTGCCAAACAGATAAAACCGAGATTCACGGTGGTGTAGTAGTTTCTCGATAATGTCGGATTGGGGGCCATCAGATTCGAAGCTCCAGACGATGTTGCAGAAGAGGCGTCAACAACACTCTCGTTCTGCTACTGAGGAGAGGGAAGACATTCAAGGGAGCAGTGCAGGCCGCTGTGCACTTCATTTGTGATGTTTGTTCCCACCTCTTAGAGCGAGCTCCTTGGATGACATCACAGGTTGGTCGAGCCCGCTCAAGTCGTATATCTTTCCTCTCGCATTTCTTATGTCAGATGCCCTTCTATCAGAACTCCAAAAGAGATTGATGTATTCTAGAGAAACAGACGGGTCTCGCCCCGTAGCTCAACCAGAAGTTCCTCCAGTCATTCTCTGAGCTTGAGTATCCCTAAAACTTTTTATCACCAAATTCTACCAGGTACAAACAGGTTCCTCACCTCTGCAGGATCGAGCCCCAGCTCATCTTTGAAGAAGAAGTTGACCGCTAGCCTCGACAGCCCCAAGACCCCCTGGACAAAGTACACCATTGCAATCGCCAATGTGTCCGGTGTCGCCTCCACCCCGAAAACATACCGCTTGTGTCGAGGGGGCGTAGGATCAAGAGGGGGCTGCTGATTGGTGGTTTCGGGGGGCGTGCTTGTGACATCGCGTGTTGAGGCTGGCGCTGAGTCTGCGGCAGCTGTGAGAAGAAAAGCTTGGTCAGAAACGCATTGTTTTGTGGACGCTTAGCTGAGCTGGATCTCAACCTACTAAGGGCAACTTACTTAGTTTGTTCTTGAAGGAGAAAAGGAGGTCCTGAATGTTTTCATTCCTTAAAGTTTGACTGCGTTCAGAACCCATAAAGCCCCGCACCATGGTGTATTCTTTCTTTTCTGGCTTGAGAAGCTGTGTTTCTCCTTGAAACCCTGGAAAGCCAAAAATTGCACGGCCGCTTGCTTTGCTCTCACAACCATTCTGTCCCTTGTCAAAGACACCTTGCATGCAAGGCGTGGAAATCTCTGCAACCACTGTAGCTTACTTAAGCAGCAGGCGAAAATCCTGATTGGCGCCACTTCAGAACTAACAGATGTATGCCCACCTTTTTCTGTTTGTTGACTATCCACCGAGGCCCTCAACCGCGAGTGCCGGGCGGTCATCTTGCCACTGCTCTTCGGCAACAACTGCCCCCCGTCAAAGCAACACCTGTCCTGGCTAACCCCTAACAAACGGCTCTGGGTTAAGGCAGCAGGTTTTCCTGCAACAACGCTGCGTTTATCCCCTTGATCTGTCAGAATGCATGAGGTTAGCACCAAAGCCCTAGCAGCTGGGTTTTTTCTGGGCTGCTTTCTAGAAGCGAAGGCTCCTTGAGTCTGGGATAAAACATCCACACTTATGCACTTAGTAGCCGCCATCCTTGCATCCTGTCTGGGCCGCCGCCTTCTGAATAGAGGGTGATCGTCTTCCTTCTACGACGTGTTTGTGGCTTCTGATTGGACGGTGCAAGCTCCAGTTGGTTATAGACCTCGGTTGCTAGTGGGTCAACCCATGCTAGCCTAGGTTAGACGATAACCCTATGGTGCCCGAGGAGCCCGCTAGAGTTTTACAGATCGGCTTCTAGGTAATACAAGTCCTTTGAAAGAAGGGGAACGGTGGTCAACAGAAATAGGGTTCCAAGTTACGTTAGGAGTTCGATCGACAGGTTAAAGTCTAGCAACCCTAGGTTAATTTACGGTATGCCTATATGCTCAGCTAGCTAGCTCAGAGTCAGTGCTCAGGACAGAATGCATGCATGGCACCAGCATAGAGACCAACACCATTGCTCCTGCGCAGGCGCCCTGGAACACTTCTGCCGCCAGAAGAATGGCTTTCCAAGCTGCACGAGCTGCTCTTCAGCGGAAACTTCAGCTTCCATGCATGTGCCGGCCTCTGCAAACTCTTGCGAGTCCAACTTCCGTTGAATGTGGCTTCTCAGCAGCCCCATCTGAAGCGCGGGGTGGTGGTCATGAAGACCTTAAGCAGGGACAGGCTGCTGAATTGCTTCAAAGAGATCTTCCAGAAACTTCAGGGCGGTCGCAATCAGGAGGCTACCGCCACCAACGATGTGGGGCAGATGCTGACTTTCAGAAGATGCTCTCAATTGGTGGGAGGTATGGTTATTCAGTACTTTGATGAAGTTAAGGCTTCCAGCAGTCTCTGTCGTCCCTTCGCTGGTCCACGTCTGTTGGCCGCTGTTTCTGTGATTTGCTGTTTGAGTCCCGTTTGGATCCTTGTTTGTGGTTCTTCTGAGTCATCCAGCATGAGTCAAGCGGTTATAGACATCAATGCACCACCACCTATCCATCTCTTAGTGAACGGTCTTCAAGATGATCAGTACATTTCATGCAAGCCGGGTCTCCAGGACAGGTGTGATCGGTTCAGAGCTGAGAATGTTGTGTTTGGTTGATCTTGACAAGCTTCTTTGTGTTGGCAGGAGACGGTTGATGACCATGGCGCGTGTTGAGGACTTCAATGTGCTGTCAGGGGCAGCAGAGGCTGGTCAGCGAGTGAACATAGACGCGTGAGTGCGCTGCCTTAATGCCCCCAGTGTAACAATCATCCTTTGCTGACACGCAAGGTGCGAATCTTTGATTGCCGGCCTCCTGTCATTCAATCCAGGACGGATGTTTTGAGCTCTCTTCTTCATCGAAACAGTCCTGGTGAATCGTCGTACAAGTGAAAAAGTCCTGCATATCATGGGAGAGGCTCGAATTAGGCCCAGTGTATGTCCGAAATAGAGCACATCGGAGACTGAAAAGCAGTCGATTGCAATTGCCATCGGACTGCCGAACCTCCTGTGAATTGAAGGGGCTCAATGATACAAAGCCTTTGTGATGGGCGGACACGAAGAAAGAATCTGGTCAGAGTTTTCTGATCGGGCCCTAGGCAGAAGCGTCTCCCAAGACTGCCCTTATCTGGACGAGCCTTTACACCTACAAGCACGCCAACCAAGTCGCTCCTTTAATGCTTACTTTTTCAAGGTGACATTTGCCTTTCAATCCAACTTTCCCGTACACCAAGCCCGAGGCCGCGTAAGCAGAAATCAACAAAACTATCTTGAGCAATGAAGGAGCTCGAATGATAGTCACCTGGAGTTGTGACAAAGAGAGGAGTTCGTTCCGTGCCTGCAGTTACGACGAGACGGGATTCGTGGTGGACGGGGTAGACATCCGTGGCGCCATTGTCTGCTTCGGCAACTCGACCTTCCGGTGGAACGTCAGCAGCATTGCTGACGTCACCCCCGACAGCCTGGCAATTTTCGAAGCCATCCGGCCAGCTCCAGGTGCGACGTCTGACCAACCCTTCACCCGTTGCTAAGCCTTCACGAGAGCTGAGTGTTCGGGACATCAGTTTACGCGTTCTGGCCTTTGGCATGCGACCTCAGACCTCACAAGATTAGATTGTCTGCACCGAATAGCCTAAATGTAAGCCGTTCATGAACTGGCTTCCGTCCTTTTGTAACGCCAAAGATTGGCGTCTTCTGGGCGGGCCTGGCTGCTTCAAAGGCGGTTCGAATGCGGGGGTTCGCGATAACGCAATCTCGAAAGAAAACGATCGAAGGTCGCTTGTGGGCTGGTGAAGGTTTACGGTCAAGATCGGACGGGTGCTGTACGGATTATTTGAGCGCAGACTCAAAACCGAAGCCCCTGTCTCTGAGCTGGCAAAAACTTGCAATATCGGCCCAGATCCAATTTCGATCTCAATCAGCGGGCCTCTCAGATACCCCAAACACGTGGATCCGCCGCGTTTCTCACCGCCCTTGGGACCTCTCGAATGCTGGTCTCTTGCCGTACATGAACTTGAAGTCCCCCTCCTAGCTCTCGCTCGACTGTTGCCAGCTGTTTCAATTGAACGCCAGCTGTCGCTCCCGCAGAGTTGCTAGTCCTCGGATGCGGCTCCCACATGGTCCCGGTCAGCAAGGAGGTACGGAGCTTCTTGCGCAAACACGGCATCGGGCTGGAGCCCGAGTCGACGGTGAGTTCAGCTCTGCCTTTTCTTTTCCCCTTGCGGGATGCGGCTTTCTTTGGTTTCTACTTATGGGGTCGAGTGTCTTCCCTTCGCGAGACGCAGTCCCCTTCGTCATGTTGTGGAAATGTTCAGATGGTCCGAGCACGATGAAAGTCGGAACCTTTCAAAGCTGCTAGATGCCGATTGCGGTATCTATTCCAAGCATAGACCTGCGAAATATCGTAAGGAACAATTTGCAGACACCAACAATCGCCTTGAGATGCATATGTTGTGGCATGCTGAGCTTGTGCTTTGTGCTTTGTGCACAGGCAAACGCGGCAGGCACTTTCAATGTCCTGAATGAAGAGGGTAGGAAAGTCGCAGCGGCACTGCTGCCGGCCACGGAGATTAGATGATATCCGACGGTGGACCGACAATCGCACGACAGCCATTTAGCGCAACTTAGGTTGGTGTGAACCGAGCGCAGTAAAAAGCAATCAATCGACTACGCTGCAAGAATGCCCGCTTGTTCAACTATGGTGTAGAGCAACTCTTGAGAGGCCGCGGGGTTTCGGGGTTTCGAGCCTCTGTGTCGCGCAATTTGGGACGGGTTCGACCTTGATTCCTTTGACAGCTAGCTGCACGGTTAACGACTCCGACAATTAAAATTGCAGACGAGCAAGCAGCTAGCATGCCATAATATCAAATAGGAGGGCCAGCAGTCCCCATGTCATCGCCGTCAGCTGTTTCTGCTGATTCGATTTGCCCTTTCTGACGTGAATGCGGCGGCCATTTGCTTTCAAGATTGCGACCGATGAATTGCACTCATGCGTCCGATTGCACCTACAATCAATTATAATATCTCGGATTCGGGCAGTCCTGCATGTGCATCGCATGATGATTGATCACTGTACTTCGTGCAGTCCAGCATGTGGCATTTTCGGACTCCTATAACCAATTGACCTGCCAGACGGTATGGTGCAAGTTACCGTACCAGGCCATGGGATGAATAATTATCCATCACATGTGCGAATGTAGTAAAGCTTATGATTACCCAGTTGATCTAGGTGCAGCCGGACACTATACGTCGATCCCTTAAGTCACTTATAAGTAGCCGCTGCCCGCGGACGATGAGTCACTGCATTGAACCGTAACAATTCTAATCGAATCATTGCCCAACTTCCACAAAATTGTGTTTTCTTCGTGGCTTGGATCAAACGGCAACTCATGAATACGGAGATGGTCCAACGTGCAGACCGTCTCCTATGCAAGCAACCTAGCTATCAGTAGAGTGTTCCTCGGCGTGTTAACCTCGGGAAACCGTCCGGGAAAGTACAGTGAAGGCGTCGCATTATTCCAGTAAAGTTGATGTCAAGAGTGTCTATCATCGAGGGTCACCGTGACACGTGATGCGTGCCGCGGCTGAGCCTTTCATTAACCGTCAGCAGCACGATTTAGTTGCTTCCGTACCAGATTAGCAGCCTCTGCTGCGCATCCCCAAAACAGAGTGAAACCAGACCCGCCGTGCCCGTAGTTGTGTACCACTGGCACCGCCGTTTCGTTGCCGTCCGAAGTCGCCTGCGTAGACGGTCTCAAAAGTCGAGCTTTCTCTTCACTCACAAAAAGCCAGGCAACCAAAAAGCATGCCCAGGCCAAACTGTCACCAGCACCAGAGGAGGGAGACCGTCGCAAACGAACGGAATGATTCCAGAGTTCCTTCCCAGGGATCTCGTGCTTTCTCTCTTGCAGAGACTCCTCGAAGTCGCCCTACTCGCTTCCGTGACATACTTCCCTCCTCAAGAATCCTGGCCCTGCGGCAAGCGCGTATAGATGTCTGACTTCACTCTACGCGGGTCAAGACACAGATAATGCCCCTGATGTTCCCAGGGTCACAAAGGGGGAACGCCATTCAGACAAGCAGCCCGAGAGTGAGGCATCTCGGGCTTACGGACTGCGCCAAACCACTTTACCGGCGGGGGCTCTTTCAGTGACCAAAAAGCAGCCGCAAGCGCGTCTACTACGCAGAATACGAACAAACAATCACCAATAGAATATCAAGAAAAGTCTGCAGTGCTCACCGGCGGGGGCTCTTCCAACTCGAGCCGGATCGCCTCCCGCACGGGGCGCAGCCCCGACCACTTTTCGACGCTGCTGCTGGCGAGATCGACGGCTGTCAAGCTCGGCAGGTATGCCGAGCAACGGTCCAGAATGTCACGGGAGAGCTGCGCAGCAAAGGAAAGCGGTTCCTGGTGTGAACGACTCGCACACATGCGTTAGCTTAGGCTGCTGACAAGGTCTCTGAAGAACAAAGTTCTGGGAGCAGCCGAGCGGGGCAGGTGCGAACCCTGAAGATAAAAGTCCTTAGCCAACGGGATAAGCATCTCCCCGGGTTCACTCGACTTGGGCGTCTGATGACTCACGTCAGCCGCGATTCCAACAGCGTCGCAGGTTTGAGAATCCTCTGCAAACCGCTGGGTCAATGCATCACTTACGCCCTTTCCCGAGTTCTAATCCTAACTTACTGCCAAGACGGAAGCCGCACGAGCATCTTCTGTGCCAGTAAACAGTTCTCCAGATCCGGAGATGGTCCGAGGGGCGAGACGAAGTGCCAAATCGAGAAAGAAGCGACGAAACTTTCAGGGAGAGAAACAAAAAAGTAACACAGAGTTTGTTCCCGTTATCCCTGAAGAGACGGCAGAGGCATCAAGGGAAAAGGCCAGACGGTTAGACGGTTGCACGGAGTCCGACTGTTCCTGGCAATCTTCCTTGGTAGCTCTCACAGTGACTGTCCAAACGTCCGTGTTTCAGTTGCGACTTCCTCTCATTGTTTTGTTGCGGTGATATCATCGCAGGGTGCAGCAATCGCTTACCTCATTGCGCGAATTCCAAGTGTAGGCTCAAACTTTGCCCACAATCGTAGTCCGTAATCAATACTCACAAGCTGCTTACAGTTTCGACTGAACGAGTCATGTCAAAAGAGGGTGAAAAGGACAACAGAAACCAAACACAAGCTCAAGATTCAAATTACTCGGAACATATTGAATGCCTCTCAAAAGGAGTTCAAGGGACAGCAGAATGAAGAAGGCAGCAATATGGAGACCTTAGACCTACCTCGTCGTCAGTCGCCGCATTTACGGTGTCCGGAGCGACCCTGTCCGTAGAGCCCCCCAGTACGACAGTGTCCGTATTGGGGATGACGTACGTCGTGTCGTCGAAGCCGTAGTAGTGCTTGATCTCGGGCGCATTCACCCTGAGCACCTGGCCCTGGACGGGCGCGATGGCCCTGCGCGACAAAGCAGGAGTGTGAAAACCCTCCGGAGTGCTTGGCACTATGCTGTGCCGGCTATCATCACGGGAAAATAAAAAAC